TTGCGATGGGGGGTTCGCTACGGGTCGCGAATAGTTTTTGTGACGTAATATGATATCATCTTTTCTTGGATGCAATACTAGTATTATTACCAGTAACCTCATTTTCTCTGATGCATTTGAAGTAGGATCCATGTTTATGATTCATGCTGATGGGACAGAAGATTGGAATATTTGAGCATAGGGGGCATAATTTACAGTGGTGGTGTTGCATTAAGCCTTTTATTCTTGTTGTAGAATCATTGTAGGCTAGGAATAGAGACTCAGGATAGAATTCTGGATGAAGAGCGCAATGAAGAGTACCATGTATTCAAAATATTATTTTGCTCAATACTTCTGGTAACTGTGTATAAGTATTTTTTTAAAATCTGAATATTATATTTGACCTTGTGAACTAGAAGAGGCACTATATGGCCAGAAACATAGGTTTGGTTGTAAAGTATGCTCCTAGTAGTTGCTCTGAGGGGCAACACTTCCCTCTAGGATTTTTTGTGGGAGTGCAACCAGGGTTTTGTTTTGCTGTATTTAAAAGAATCAGGTTAATTTGGTTTGTAGTGAACAGGAAGGAGTAACAGAAGGAGCCAAAGAAATATCTGGCACCGCAGGATGTTTGTGATGTTTCTTTTTGAAGTAAGCGTCAAAGAACATCAAATCTTGGGTGACACTCTCTGGTGGTTGTTTACTACTAGTAAAAGGCAAAGGTGAAAAAGACTGAGTAATTGGGAGTGTGTTGGAGGTGGATGCAAGCAAGGCCTTGCTGACACATGAAAGAATAGTCTACTCATGTAAGCAGTGCTGGTAATGCTATGTGAGCAAGGAAGTAGGTGCATTAGATATGAAGGTTTTCATATCCTCTGGGAATAAGAAGTGGGCATGAGATGGACACATCTGTAGTTTAAACTTTAATTACTACAATCCTCTGTTGATGACGTGCTTGTTTTTGGGAAAGAGTGTAGTCATGGGGGTCTTTGTTTCTCTGCTGTTCCCACAAGAGGTAAGGAAGAATTCCACAAGAACGCCCCCCAGCACAAGTGGGGAGTGAGAGCTGGAGTGAACATCAGGATCCATAATCCACTGAAGTGAAAGGTGGCCAGCAAACAAATGGCGCCATCCAATCTTGCTCTGGAAATGAATAATTGGATGGTGGAGAGATATAGGATATTTCTCTGGTGAAACTGGCAACAAGAACAAGTGTCATGTATTTGGTAGTTCCACTGTTTGAGGATGGTGGCAGTGGGATTCCTGGAGATGCAATTGATGGCAAGTCCTAGTGACTTACATGCAATATCAGAAAGGACATGCAATTGCCACTGGTTCCTATCTGCCAAGTATGTATGATAACAGGGCATCAGACAAGACTCAGTGAGAGCTTGGTTGCATTGGCTTCTTGTCACTGAGAAAGATTGAATCTGAAGGACTGCTGGACATGAAGGTAAAACTGGTGTGATGGAAGTAGGCTTTGTCCTCTGAGCTTGAAAAGTGCCACCAGCATAACCATCAGCTTCAACATTTGACTGAGCTATCAAAGGAAGGTTTTCAAAATCTATGACATCATCTTGGTGACCTTTGACCCAAGACGAAGGAGGGAGTAATGCATGGGGATGATTGGATGGTTTGAAAAATCTGTTCTATCAGGAAAAAGTCTGGTGCCATGGTGTCATGGTGGTATCTCCATATGCTTCTGAGTATTCACATCTGGATTGGATTTTAGTGATGAGGGCTTTACTATCACTGATAAAAGTAACCAGTGTTGGGCAAGTTGTTGTGGCGGATAAGTTTGTACTGGAAGATGAAGAGGAACTGAATGTGCTTGCATCAGATGAGTGCAAAGATGAAAGATGCTTATCTTCATTTTGAAATTGCAAATCATTCAATTCTCTTGTCAAATATTAGAAATTTTCCTTTTCAGTCCTCAAAGTTTTTTTTGAGAATATGATAGTTGGGCAGTTGAGATGGCAATGGAAACTCTGTACCACCAAGTTCAGACCAAATGTATTCCATAATTGGGATGAATACAAGGTTTTGGGACATGGTTCTGTTGGTGATGGTGTGAAGCAATCAGAGTAATGAAAAGACTTGTAGATAATAAGTCAGTGGCTTCAGCGCAGAGAGAACTCTCAATTCCAAAGCATTGGCCATATGCATGTGCAATCCCTCCATTTCTTTTTGCACTACCACCAGACAGCTACTCATACACATGTTACTAGTACTTCTAGATTAATGCAGACAAATGCAATAGCAATCCTACTTGTACTACTACTAGAACAATGTAGCTCTTACAAAGTAATTTTGAAGTGACGAGTGACTGAGATGATGAAGTAGTATTGTTCAAAATAACATGCGTGTGAACAGAGTGGAAACAATAATATTGGAAGCATATGTTTTTGATAGATTTCCTGAGAAAGGATTTCCTTGTTAGTGACTTGCTGGTAGCTTTCCAGACGAGGGCAGTGAGAATTGATATCTATCTATTATGAACTCAGTGCTTAAAACCAATTACAAGAGGGAGCTTGAAATCCATTTCGTGCGGGAAAAATTAAACTTCTAGTGCGGTATGACAGCTGATGGGTTGTCGGAGGGACAAATCAATACCACTTGATACAATTACACAACTAAGCCAATCCTTTCTTTGAAGTCGATGACGACAACCTGTTTCCATCGTTGAGAAACAACATCTCTGGAACGTAAGTTTCCGGAAAACATTCACTAAAAAACTGTAGGACACGGCACATCCTTTACCTACGGGAGATGGATCCAGAACGACGAAGAAGCACATCTACAGACACTATGAATGAATGCACGCGAGCCATCCGCAGTGCCATTTTGCCGGTTAACACCGGATCATTTGGTTCCTCAGTCGCATCGTTATTCGTGTTAGTAGTATGGTAGAGTAGCACAAGGAGAGTAGTTGTTGTTTGTTTGTTTGTTCGCTGCCATCCTAGAGCCGCATCATTCCCTGGACGAAGTCACCAAACTGGTCCAGTGCCGAAGGAGGCTTTCGGCCGACCTCGTTTCCGTTCTCGTCCACCTGCAGCTTTCCTTCGTTGACCGCGTCGTATATGTCCTCGACCTCGGGGTTGGATGGCAGGTAGGGCAGGGTCCGCATCAGCTGGTAGCCCCCCTCGGCGGACTCGTTTTCCTCCCACAGGGTGTAGGCCCTCGGCCACGAGCGTGTCAGCGCTCCCCACTGGAGGGTCCTCAGGTAGTAGGTCCCCTCGAGGCCGTCCAGAAGCCGCTCGCGGAGCATACGGCCGGCCATTCCGAATCCGGTCACGCCCATGTCCACCAGATTGGGGTTGACAAAGACGCTCAGGAGGGGGACCCCGGTGTTGGCCTCGAGGTGGGCTTGCTCGGTTTTTTGCAGAATTTCCTCCACCATGTCGCTCTCCGACGCTTTGGGGCAAAAGAAAAAGATGAGGACGTCCCTCGACAGGTCCTCCGTAATCGACCGGATACCGCCGCAGGCGCCGAAGCGGACGCAGGACGGCATGTCGACGCCGTTGGCCTGCGTCCAGTCCCGCTTGGCCAGCGCGGCGTTGCCCTCATCGGGAAAGTAGACGCGGACGATGGGTCCCTTGTAGTCGTCGTCACCGCTTCCGGAAGCACCCGGCTCCTTTCCGTTGTTCTGCAGGACCTCGATGTAGCATTGCTTCTCGTCCTGGTCGACAGCCTCTCCGCCCTCCTCCTGCTGGAGTATCCTCTGCAGGGCCACCCGCGCCTCGGCCACGCGCTGGACCTCCGCCATTTTTTCGGCCTGGAGCCCCGGGACCAGCTTGTAGCTCAGAAAGGAGACAAAGTTCTGCATAAACTCCGTGCTGGTCTTGAGCAGCGGGTAGGTTTCGTCCCCGGCGTTCGTGTCGAAATCGACCCGGCACCGGGCCTGCTCCGGTGCATATTGCGCAAAGGAGGCGCAGGAGTTGGCCGCCCGCTCGGCGGCATCGACGAGGGAGTCCGGGAGGTCCGTGGGTTGGTCGATGTCGGCAATGTTGGGGGAGACAGACAGAGCTAAGTGGTTATATGTGTTCAAATGTGGGTTCCAACGAGAGAATGTGAGGAGGGATAGAACAGAACAGAATATAATGCAATCATAGACACAATAGGGTTCTGTTCGAACACACCGCCCGGTACCGTACGTACCAACACTAAATCGGGGACTCGAAGCAGGAGTCGTCGTCGTTGTGAACGCCGAGATTCTCCCAACGAGAGCCAAAGAAACAACCAGTAATATGATTCGTGACGGATTCGAAAACCTCATTTTCCAGTGTGTTTGTATGGTTTGACACTTGAAAAGGAGAATGCAAAAATGGTATAGATTCGCAACTTCGCAACTTCCGCAATCTAGAACGATCCCGTCGTTCCTTTCAGATTTCGTAGTCGTCGTTTTGTTTTGATCGGAGCAGCGTTGTTGCGTTGTTTTTCCTGTTCCGGTTGCACACCGGTTGTTCCCTTTGTATTCCTTGTTGAAGACATCATCATCCATTACGAGAATAAGAAAAGGGGGGCAAACTGAAACACAATCCATTCCGCGTGTAATTGGGGAAAAATTGTTTCGTGTGTCCCCGTCAGTACGATACTCGTATTCGACAGCCCAACTCGAATTCTAGTGCTATCGACATATTGTATGTGCATATTCATAATATCATAATACAGTACAAACATACCAAAGCCTACCGCACGCCACAAACAGCAACAAACGTCGTTTGTTGCTTGCCGATCTGTCGGTACATACGGACCTACCGCACTCGTACCTACCGTACTCATACCTACCGCAGCATCGACAGACAACATCATCAGCTACTAGTGCTCGTAGCGTTGATACCGATTGATCCGAAGAGAATACAACCCCGTTGCGGTACAATACCCCCTGCTGTTTCTGTTGCGAGAATCGAAGATTGCACCAAACGAGTAGAAGACACACGAGCCAACATGTCTTGGAAGGCCGGATTATCACGATACCTACCGGCGATGCGGTTCTTCGCGTGCCCTGAGAGCCCATCCTCTATCGGTGTTCGGTGAGTTCAATGGAAGTTGTTGTCTTGAGTCTGGTGTTGCGGCATCATGCTGATGCTTGTTCGCCTGTTCGAAAGAATCGCGCCAAGTCTAGACGATGAAAACGATGAAAAATGTACGATGGAGGAAGTCGCAACTTAGAGAGATTATTTGTTTTCATGCTTCTGACTCTCTGTTTGTTGCCTTTCAAATTCGCTGTCTTCCGCTCTATTTTCGTGTGTCGCTGAAACAAATTGTTGTCGTGGACGAATCAACCCAAAATGATGGGCTCTCTGTGCCATCTTGAATCCATCTTTCGATCGATGCTGCTACACCGACCACGACTACAACAAACAAACAAAAAACAAAAACGCCATACTAACAAACAGCAACTGGTACGTGAAACACCACAACGAGCTCAAACAACTGAATCCGAATTTCCCCCTGCTGATGCGAACGGCCGAGAACTGCATGCCCGCCGTGACGACCGAGCTGGAGTGGACGACGGACCACCTGCTGCAGTTCATGATCCAGACGGGCCGCTTCCGAAACGCCAACGGGACCATAGCCGAGGACCGCGTCGAGGCCGCCAACGCGTACCTGAGCACGGATTGGGAGGCATTTGCGGCGGCCCGGTTGGCCCACAAGGGTTTTGATCCCCTCCAGCCGTCCAACCAGGGCAAGCAATGGACCGATGACCGATCGCTGGCCTCCGACCTCACCGAGTACTCGGCCCTCAAGCAATCGATGGACGAGCAGATGGAGGTGATCCGCAGCGGGCCCGACAAGGAATACATTCGCGGGGTTAACGCGCTCTTGATGGCCCAGCGGGTCGACCTGTGGTGCGCCGGAGAAAAGGAGGTCGAGCTCGCCGTCCAGCACCTGTACAAGCTGGGGCGGCTCCTGAACGAACGCGAGTGTGTCTTTCCGAAGCACATCAAGGACTTTTACCCCGGAGCAGAGGACATTTGAAGAAAGCCACTAGCAAACTACAAAAAACAAAAAATAACGAAACCAACCAACCTACTCATTAAAAAGCAATGCAATCGGAGCGCCAACCTTGGAAAGAAAGAAAAACATGCATAACAATAATGCGATGTGCATCTATGGAGTGCTTTCCGAACAAACCTTGTGGTATACTAAGAATATAATAATCACAGTATATCGGAATCATCAATACTGCTCAAAACATACTGAAGTTTGTCGAAGAAAGTAGAAGCGTATGACACGGTAGAATGAATACTAGCAGTTGCGATAGAATATCAATACTAATCTGTCAAATGTGGCTACTAATCGCAGTAAATTTTCAGAGTTCATTTGTTCCATCAGAAATCAATTTGATGTAACGACTTTCGAAACACACCCGGTTTTTGTTCATATTATTATGACTAGAATGCTGAAAATAAAAATTTGTTGAACAAAAGTTTTCTTTGCACAGCAGCACTCCTGCTGTTACAATTGTTTACCAAGAAAACCACAAGCGCATGTATGAAACTAAAAGATTCAACTCATTTATGTGATTTTTTCTTGTTGTATGAGGTATACTACTAGATCAAAAACATTGATCAAATCAGTCCTGTAGTATCGATGCACGACGGTATACTTGCTATTGTGACCGTGATTCCAGTGCACTCCATTGGCATAAACAAGCGTAAGATCTAGTAGAAAATCGCTTGTTTGTACTTTGATGGAATTTGTAAGAGAATTCGCAGACGACCGAGCAAGTTTGTGGTAGTAGCAACAAGAGCTTCGTTTTTGTATTGAAGATACCATTTCTCATCGTGCAGTAGCACAAATCGCACTATCGTCATGCCAAGGCCAGTCGGTGTCTTCTTCAGATTATGGATATTGGCTACGTCCATTATCAAGCATCGGAGGAATCTTGGAAGTCGCCATTCTACCCTCAGTTTCCAACATCAAAAGTTACTGGAGAAGCGATGCGAAGAAATCATGGTTTCAACGACATATTGTCGGCAGTCTCATTCACTGCTTTTCCCACTGCTGTTTTACTTTTCGAAACCGTCTGCAGAACCATTTATAAAACCGATTACCGCCCTCGACCATTGATTCCTTTCGTTTCTTCCTTGCCGCTCGTTCTTCTTCGCTTTCCTTGGCAAGGATCTTCCTCGCCTTTTCTTCTAGATCACGAACCATATCTTGTTGGCTTCTAGTGGACGCTGTCGCTACACCGCGGTTAGAGTCCGTCTCGAGGTGCAATGGCTCATCCTGATTCTCCGAAACATTGGAAAGAGCGGTCATTACGGTTGCTGTTTGTTACGGTCAACTGAAATGGAAAATGGAAAATCGATATGCATTAATGCCTGGTGCACATCAACAAATCAGTGTCGCCCACAACTGCGTTGGTAATTCGTAAGATCTATTTTACACCGTTTGCGATGATGAGCGAGAGTCGATCAGAATGTTCCCACCACTTCGTAACTGGCTACCGGTATTGTAGTAGGTAGCTCGAACTTCAGTTCACTCAAGATCTGTTTGTTAGTTTTGCGCTTCCCGTGAATCTGTTCTGATGGTCTTTGGGTTCGTACATCGTACATGGTGTCAGAAAATGAAAATGATTCCAGAATGAATCGGACGAGTCATCTTATGTTGAACGAGAACGAGACCAGTAGTTTCAATAAAAATTGTATGGCCAAACTACGTACTGAACCCAACATGTTCATTAGAATGTAAAGATGAATTCTACAAAAAACTAGGTCTCTATTGGATGCTTAGATCCTTTTTTACACCACAATTAAGTTGGCACTGTAGATTGTGCAGTTTATTACATGCATTTAACACGTAAGGGACTAAATTTGTACTACTGTAAACTGCAAATTTGCAGTTTCGTCCGTGCGTAGTCTTGCTGTAATTGCCGTAATTTTCTTCAGACTTTTTCAGATTTTGTCGAGAAGGGGATTCCGGCCGGCATACGGTACACTCGAAGTAGAGGTACTAAATAATCGTATTCTACAGCCCCCTCGGAATGTCGGGAGACAAAGAACAAAGGAACTCGCAAAATAATGAGTTTCGAAATCACTAGATGGAATGTCCACGATCCACGGTGAGCAAAATGAAATTGATAGCATGTCGGTTTCTCAACTCGAACACAATACAGATGTTTGGCACGGTGGGAAATCTTTTTCGTTCAAGTGATGTTCGCGATGCAACACTGCATTGAACCTACGATACTCTCGTAATGGGATACAGTTATGAATAAATCAGTCCTACGACAATGATTCCAGAATATAAGAAGCAAAAGAGTGTTAGGGATGGAAACCGCGGTGTCCATCTCGAAACCGAGGAAGAAGTGCAAAAACTGCTAGCTGTCATTTCGGGAAGGTGTTCCAACAACCAATCCTTGGGGCTCGATGAAACCACCGAAAGCCTCCTTGCGATCCTCAAGAACCACGAGAAAACCGATCCAAACACAATGGCTCTCGTGGCTGGGGCCATCCAAACGTCAATAGTGCGAACGAGCCTATCGGCCTTCCCACACCACGGCCGCATCCGAAACCGTTTTCTCAAGGCCTTTTCGCTCGGCGCGATAGTCGACGTCCTTCGGTTTCTCGAAAACTCCAATCATCTCCTGAATTTCGATTCGCGATCCGATCAGAGCTCGATGGATCGCCTTCTCGCCGTGGATGCCTGCTGGAGCGTTGTGGATGTCATCGTCTGCGAGGATTACTTGTTTGGCAATAGTCTTAGTGAAAGTGAAAGTGACAGCGACAACAAAAACACCACAACTGCTTTGCAAAAGAACCAAAAAATATCAATCATCGATGTATGTCTATTAAGTCTGAGCAGAAGTTTCTCTTTCTCTTCCATGTCTTCCTCCTGCAATCCAGGGGAGGAAAATCATGAAATGACAACAGCAAATAATCCCTATGCAGCCGCTGCCATCAATAAGATTCTGGTTCACATTTTGGACGTTCTCTATACACTCCTTCAGAACGATTGTTTCTCCAAGGAGGACTTTGAGCAGAAACCGATAGTCCTTCACTGTCTTGGCGTTGTTTCCAGTCCTAAAGGCGCCAACCAAAGCAACGGTGCCGACGACCATGCTCTTGTCGTGACCGAAAAGGCCCTAGAAATTTTGGTGGTGTGCGCCAAAAAGCACAACCCCCTCAGCAACGACAACCGGAAGAGACTCCTGATGGCTTGCATCATGGCTCTGGCCAAATTCGACAGCAAGAGCGACATCCACAACACCAGCAACCCACAGAAGGAAGGGAATACTATTATTACCAGCAACGCCCACCGTAACACTCGAATTCTCGATCACATCATAGAATTGATCGAATGCGATGACGCCATCAGCGGGCTTTGGCTCCGCCATACGTACGGAATCTTCAATACTGAACGCCACGAAACCACGTCGGGGAACAACTGCGCTTATCACATTTCCTAGTGTAATTGGCGACTTTCGGAACGGCAACGATTCACATTTTCTCGTTTTTGCAGAAAGGGAATAAGCAAGCACGAGCATCGGCCTACACAGCCACAGAAGGGGATCCAAAACAATCTTAATGTGGTAGCGCACGGTATGGATTCACTTGGTTTTGTTTTGTTTTCTTTTGTATCATCTATAGTAGTGTTATTTTTTCTCGATGTTCCCATCGGTTTCGCCCCGAATGCGGCTCAGTATGGCATCCATGACCGGTTGCTGCAGGTTCTCGAAGCCCCCCAGGACCCGGCCGTAGTTTTTCAGGGCCTGCTCGTTCAGGCCTCCCGGGGTCTGTTCCTCGATCAGGTCCTCCAGCCTGGTTTCCAGGGAATTCTCCCCGCCGCCACCGGACGACATCGTCGCACTCTCGGCATCGGAGATGGCTCCCGCGAACTGCTTGATGACCAGAAACGTCGCGTCCTCCTTCGACAGCGAGCCGGTCTTCTTCAGAAGCCAGTCGCGCTGGTTCTTCATGGTCCCGTAGAGCGGTCCCATGGTGCAGGTGGTGACCATACAAGCCTCCAGGTCCGCCTCGGTGTCCAGGGCGACGACCCCGCCCATGGCACCAAAGAGCTGCACCAGGGAATCCTTGGTGGGACCGGTGGTCTCGCCGCAGCAGAGCAGGGCCACGCCCTTGTGGTTGGCAATCGAGGGCAGGCAGATCATTTTCGAGACGCTGGACGGGCCCAGCCCGGAATCCCTCACCAGATCTTCCAGGTTTGCCGTGGACTGGCAACGGCGGGAGGGATCGAAACGAGCGATTCGATTGGATTTGGATGAGAGAGAGAAAAATGTCGGCAGAGCAGAATACGGGAAGCGGACAGTTAGATTACGGTGCATCACAGCTGGTAGCACATCCCAGCACAACATAGCACAGCACCGAAAAACCACTAGGCAACAGAATACTCACCACCAACGATACGAGGACGTGCCGGTCCGGATCGAAGGACAGGTCCCGCAGAACCGGCGAGGCTTGCTGGGGGAGGACCGTCAGGAAGACGAGGTCGCACCGATCGAGGATTTCTTGGTTGTCTTCCGTGACCGACACCAGTTCCCCGTGGTCCCTCGCGAGGGCTTCCGACCTGGATTCCGATCTCCGGGAGACGACGATCGATCCGAGGTCCACGCTGCCGCTGCCGCTGCCACTTCCGCCCCCGTTTTTTGAGGCGAGGACGAGGCCCCTGGCGATGCTCGAGGCAATCGTTCCGCACCCGATGAAACCCACCGACAGGGGCGGCGGCTTGCTCGCGCTGTCGTTGCTGGCCATTGCGGCGCTGGTCTTGTCGCTGCTCGCTTCCGAGCGGAGTGCTGGAGACGCCGGGGTGGGGGGGATCGGGCGAAAGGAGTGGGACGGAACCGGGGCGATCAGCAACAGCACCAGCAACAGCAAGCAGAGCGAGAGGAGAGCCGGAGACCAGCGGGGGAGTAAATGGACGCTGCAAGTAGGACTCGTGCCACTGATTGTGATTCTGCTTCTGCTTCTGCTTCTGGAAGAAACGATTCCTCTCATGGTTGCCGGGGATATGTGTGTTTTGGTTTGATTGTGGAACGATGCATCAAGTTGGTTTACGCTACTGGATGGAACCGGAATTTGTACCGTACGCACCGTACATACGTACGAGTACGTACCTTACGGAACACGACACAAGCGTCCGATGGATCTTGGAGCCACCAGGAGTGATGATAGTATGAACTATAGGTACCTTTGATAGATAAGTACCAGTACCTGTGCTTTGCACAGGGTTGAGGGTTGCCACTTGCCACAGTCGACAAAACTTCGTTCCGGTCTGGTATGCGTACGGCCGCGCCCGTTTTCGACGAAGGATTCTTTTCCCCTTTTACCGTACCTGCGCGCGCACGGCAATTCAGCGAGATCTTCAGAGAGACTACGAGTACAACGTAAGATAAGATTGACTAAGTGTACAGTACAAGGACTACGAGTTACTCACTGTACTGTAAGTACGAGTGAATGAATCATCCCGAAAAATACTGCAAGACTTCTGTCGGAGGCAAAATGCGTACATTCGTATCGTAGGGCAGCGTAGCTAGGGTACAGTGCAACCTTGGGTTGATACGGTACTGGACCGGTTAGCCTTTCGTCTAGACGAAGGCCATCATCATCCTCCTCCTCCCTTTCTTCATCATTGTTGTCACGAGTAACAACGAGGTTCTTCTCGTGCTATCTTGCTTGCATCCACTACAGCGACGCCACAAAACTTCCATTCCTGGATCAGCAGACAAGGAGAGAGACACACATCGTGATCCAAAGCCAAAAACTAGCGAGCACAAACCAATCGAGAGAGTTCTCACTGTTTCGTAGAAACTACCATTGCCACCGCCCTCCCTTCTTCGTTCCGGTTTCAGTTTTCCTTTTCGATCCATCTTCCTCCGCAATCTTGCAGCAACATCGGCAAGAGGAACCAACGCGAACGCTGGTTTAGGTCCATCTATAGCGATAGCCACCAAAGCACGCAGAGGCCATGTTCTACTCGCAGGTGATCCTCGCCAAGAAGGGCCCCCTCGCCAAGGTGTGGCTCGCCGCCCACTGGGGGGACAAGAAGCTCGCCCGGCCGCAGATCTTCGCCACGGACATTTCCCAGTCGTGCACCGACATCATGAACCCCTCGGTCCCCCTGGCCCTGCGGCTGAGCGGGCACCTGCTGCTGGGGGTCGTCCGGATCTACAGCCGCAAGGTGAAGTACGTCCTGAACGACTGCACGGAGGCCATGCTGAAGCTGCAGATGGCCTTTTGCAACCAGGCCGGGGGAGGCAAGCTGGGGCTCCGGCTGGACGAGCACGGGAAGCCCGTCCGGGGCCGCGAGCTCCTCTCGGAGAAGGACGCCCCCACCCACCAGCTGGTGTCGAACTTTGGGGAGTACGACCAGATCCACGTCGTCGAGGGCTTTTGCCTCCCGCTCCCGGAGGACAACGAGTGGATCCTGGCGGAGGACGAGGCCGGGATCGGGGGCGGGAGCGTCGGGGAGGCCTCCCAGGAACTCCTGCTGGCGGCCCACCTGCCCCGGAAGCCCACGGACGGGAGCGGGAGCGGATCCCCCCCGGCCCCGGTGGAGGAAGAGGAGGCCTGGGCGCCCTTTGATCCCGACAACGAAGACGACGACGACGACGAAGGACTCGCCGACGGCAGCCGGGTGTCGGACATCGAGGTGGTCCGGGCCGCCAACGATTCTCTCTTGAGCGACGATCAGGTGGGTTGCTTCGGAAGTCTTTGTCGATCTGTGTTTGTTGTGTTCTTTCGTGTCGTGTCGTGTCGAGTTGAGTTGAGTGGACTTGAGTTGCATACAGTAGTCTTGCGTTGACCTTCTCGTTGCGTTGCCCTCTCACCCGCTCGGATTCTGTTTTTTCCATACGTTCGGTTCGGTCCGGTTTCGCATCGCAGACCCGGCGTGCGTCTTCCCTGCTGGACAAGAGCGCCCTCACGGCCAACAGCTGGAACATCAACAACAAAAACATCGACAACAACGAAAACAACAACGAAACCATCACCAACACCAACCCGCAAGAAGAGGACTACGACTTTACCGTTCCCTTTGGGGAAGACGACTCCGATGCCGACGAGCCCGTCGCCACCACCCGCCTGTCCGATGCGGGACTCGGCGATTCCGCCCTGCAGCTGTCCAGGGACGGGGGCACCCCGCTCTCGACCGGCAACGCCGGGCTCGGGCTGGGCCTGGATGCGGACGAGGACTCGGCCGGGAACGCGGGGGGCCTTTCCGACCCTTCGAAACGGGAGCAGTTGCAACGGGAAGAGGAGCCGAAGCCGCCCCCCCGCAAGCGCCGCCGCAAGAGGCGCAAGGTCGTCATCGACAACCACGAGACGGAGCTCACCAACGACCACATCCGGGGGATGCTGCGGTCCACGGACGACATCGTCCGGCCGATGGTCCACCCGGCCTCGATCTGGGACGAGGAGGGCACCGGGAAGGACTACCGGGCCCTGGTGCTGGATCGCATTGCCGAGCAGAGGGGCGCGTCCCGGAAGCGCAAGAAGGGCGTTGCCTTTCGCGATGTTCCGGGGCCGGCGTCGAGCGGGGGGGTCCCCTCGCTCACACGGCCCTTTCTGGCCGATGCCTCCGAGTCCGGCGGGCCGGGCCTCCACCCGGTCCTGCAGCGGCTGTGGGAGGACAACTACTGGAGGGCGAACGAGCGGCCCTGCCCGTACCGACGCCTGGATCCCGGCGGAGACGGCAACGACAACGACAACGACAAAGACGACAAGGTCGTGGACGACGTCGAGCACGTCCGCAGGGGAACCGCTGCCTCGGACGACGAGAGCACGGTTGGGGGCCGGTCCGAGCTCGGGGTCGGGGCCGAAAAGGACGACGACGACGCCCGTTCCCGGCTGTCCACGGGCCAGGAAATGCCCCGGGACGACGAGATGGACTTTCCCGTCGCCAACGACGAGGAGGACGAGGAAGACGACGAGATGGACGCCCCCGTCCCCGACTTTGGAGACGACGAGGAAGACCCCACCAACCTCGCCGCCGGAGGAGACGACGAGGACCTACTGGACCTCGGCATGGTCAACGACATGGTCCTCGATTCGGACGAGGACGATCGCCAGGACGACGGCGAGGACGACGAAGACCGCGAGGCCATCGGGGACGCGGCCTCCTCGTCCACCAAGTGGCACAAGCACACGGTCCGGGTCTTTCGGCACCTCAGGAAGTGCCTGAGGGACCCGAACGCCGACACAGACGAAGACGGCGGCATCGCCAACGAGGGGCTCCCGGACTCGGTCGGCTTTGCGGACCTGACCAAGAACGTGGTGTCCCGGCGCAACGCCTCGTCCGTCTTTTTCGAGATGCTCCAGCTCAAGACCTGGGACTTTATCGAGCTCGAACAGGAACGGGCCTACGGGGACATTGCCATCTCGGCCGGCCTCCGCTTTGGGGAGGACGCCCCCGAACACTAGGCGAACGAAACGAAAGCGAAAGCGAAACGAAAGCAAACGGAAGGCCTGGAAAGTCGGACACGTATTCCGGAAGCAACGGTGCCAGAACAAGAACTACAACGACAGCAACAGCAACAGCAACGACAATGTGTTTGACCGAGGGGATTATCTGTAACATACTGTAACTATGATTCGTTTATTGAATTCTGGTAGAAACACCAGTGCCATGACTTCGGTTTGACTCCTGCAAATCTCGTTTTCCTTGGTCTTACCAGTCTCGATCCTAAAAACCTGAAGTCAGAATTCCTAGCCGCTTTCATGTAATGCCATGGTGAATACGTACTCGTACCTTCGATGCATAGGTTTGATATTGCACGGAATATTCGATAGCCGTTGCCCATAGTACAGTACCTATGGTAAAGCATAGAAGCAAATGACTGTACCGGTAATACAGTACGAAAACGACAGATAAGTCCTCCATCCTAGGTTTTATTTCACCGACACGTCGTCGTGCGCGTCCAACTGCCTGCTATGCTAACGCTCAAACTGCTGGTTCACGGGACGGCACCATACTCTGTACCGGACCTACGTAATCTAACCGATTTTTAACTTCTATGCACACTGATGGGAGCTTAAGAGCAGCAGTACTCCTACGTAGTCTTTCCGTACCAGAAATTCTTATGCCATCTATTGAGCATAGTAAATTCCAGTACCAACGGTACGTACGGTTTCAAACGAAGAAAAGAATGATGAGGCTCAGACGAGTGGTGCGTTAAATTCGAAGTCCCCACACTACGGGTTCTCGTGTTGGTTCCGTTGCATCGTTTCGAGCCCATCGACACGCAGTGACTTCGGCCTCACGCTTCTCTGCTCTGCCAGGGAACGCTACTGTAATAAATTTTGTTCTCCCAGCAGACCCACACCGTCCAACAAAGGATCGATAGGCTTTCATTGGATCACCGGGGGTGGATCGTGTCACCTTGGAAAGGCCGAAGCATAAGACACAAGAGACAGACAAGGAAACTGATAGCCGCAATCGAGGGCACCGAAAACCAGTCGGTCATTGCTTCCGCGCACTCGCATCCGCGCAACTCGCATCCAAGCATCGAAACGGAAGAAGGTCCGCAAGCACCATGGGCGGCTACGGCAAGAAGAACAAGAACAATGGCGTCGATGCCTCCTTCGATTCCTCCATTGCTACGAATAGCACACGGAAGAGCAAGAACGGAATGAAAAAGCTGGGTTCGTCCATCAAGAACGTCTTTGGGGGAAAGAAGCGGAGGCGTCGCAAGAAACTCGCGGCCCTGCAGCGAGAAGGAAACGCCAACGGCAACGTCCACGTCTTCGATGACCGGAGCTACGTTTCCTACGAATACAGCGAGGCGGGGGATTCCGACGTGTACAGCTACCAGGAAGAGATGGCCTCCGTCCACTCGAGGAAGCGATCGGGGAACTCCCCCGGAAGGCCGCTCACGAAGATCCACGAGGGAGACAACGAGGACGCCTCGGACGTGGAAGACACCGCCAGTCCGCGCCGCAACCGGGGATCCAGGGGCCGGAGGGGCGGCGATGATGCCTCTGTGTCCTCCAAGAGCTCCTGGATGAGCAACCGACGGACCAAAAAGGCCCAGCAGCAAACCCCGGACCCGCTCTTGCTGGTGGTCCTGCTGGTCGATCCCTCCACCCTGAGGTTCGAGCTGCTCTCACTGGAGTTCGATCTGGCGGAGACGGCCAAGCAGGCTAGGAAGAACCGCAACACCCACGGTTCCCACGAGTTCAACCTCACGGTCCAGGACGTCCTGAACCAGATCACGCCCGATGCCCTGACGGAAGAAAAACTCCGGGCCAGTGCCTCTAGCTCGGGAGGCTGCAGGGCTCTGATCGATCGCAACGGCCAGATCCATTTTGGGACCGCGAGCCTCGAAACCGCCTGTGCCGCCCGGTCCCTGCGGGCCTCCGATCGGGCCACGCAGCTGCGGGAAATCACCCGCGCCAAGCGGAACCGGGCCAGCGGTGCCCAAGCACCCGTAATGTGGGAATGCCGCCTCGGCAATCCTACCTACACGGGGGAACCCCACAGGGATGTCCTCCTGGGATTCTTTGTTTCTTCCGAGGACGACTGCGACGGGGGAAAGAAGAACGGAAAGAGCATCACCGAGATGGCGACCGACGTGGCCAGGGTGATGGACCTCGCCCGTCCTATTTTTGCCGATCCCAGCGTGGTGGATCTCATGGAAGGAAACGGATACGATCTGACGGGGTGGAAATCGGGTAGGTTGACGGACAAGAGCGGCACCTCCCCGGCTTCCAGGGCCATGCTGATGCCCCCGACACCGTCAAAACGTAGGAGCCGGCGGTTGGATTGGAACCATCCCGTCGTCAAACTCCTGGTTGCCCTGGTCAGCATGACGCTCGCCACGGTCCTGGCCTTTGCCCTGGTCTCCGTTGGGCTGCACCTGGTGCCGGCCCTGTCCCCGGGAGACATCGGCGACCAAGACAACCACGGCCACGGCCACGAAGACGACGGTCGCCACACGTTCGAGGGATATGCCAGGCTCGCCTTTGATGCGGTGCGGGCAGCCGTCACCGGTCCCGGAGACTCGGTAGAAGCCTAGCGGCGGGTGGACAACCCGTCGGGCCGGGCACCCCTGCTGCAGCAATACAATGGTTCGAACGGAAACCGCTGGGAAACTACATTTTTTTCTCAAAGTTGCGTAACTTATAGATTATTTATTTTTTTGCTTGGCAGAATGCCGCTATTCGCATAGAAAGTGCACGTTTCTTACCAGATGCATTGCAACCCGCAAAAATCGGTTCTTTTGGACCGCCCAGTGCCGGAGCAAGCGGTGGCAACAAGCTGCGCACCGCGTAGAAAAGACCGTCGGGATCCGGTGCCCCAGACGACAAAGCCAGAACGAGGGGCAGCAGCGCAGGGGCAGCACCATCGCCGGGGGCCACCCCGCTCGCGCGTTCGATCCAGTGTCGCCCCGCACGGTTTCGGGACAGCTCGGCCTCGATCGCGGGGTGGACAAGGTGGCCCATCGTTGCTTCCAACCCCGTAATGGTGTCGAGGTGTCGGAGGAACCCCGCGACCTCCCGGACCACGCCGTTCGGGGCGTCGCGCCCGAGCCGGATCGCCTCTGTCTCGAGAAAGGTGTACTCGTACGTGGTACCGGCTCGCACAAAGACCAAGTCGTCCGTCCATTTTATAGTGCGAAGCGGTATCGAGATCGGGAGATGCCGTTCGCCGAGCTTGGCATTCAGGCAACGGAAGCCCCCGTAGTCCAGGGAGTTGCCCAAACAAAGCGTTCGCAGTCGTCGAAATCGCGGCAGTGCCTCGAGGAATAGAACGCCCAGAGCGGTGTTGGTCAAACCGTGTCGTCTTCCTTCGAACTCCAGGGTTTCTAGTTTCTGTAGGTTCTCGCTTGTTTTCAAAACATGCAGCCAGCGATCGACGTCGTCATTCTCCAACCAGCTTCCCAGTGCAAGAGTTTTCACATCCGGTAGGGCTTCCCCTACCCATTCCAAGAGCGACTCGGATGCGTTCGACCCATTGAGATTCAGATTTTTCACGCAAAGAGGCCGAAACCCCTCTGTAGAATCGACGGATGTTTCTGACAAAACTCCCCACAAGACAAGGTCTTCCAACTCCATCAATTCAGACAGTTGTTGGATTGGAATGGTACGGGGGTTCTGCAATACGAGGGTCGTAAGACTCTTGAAATGAACGATGTCCATGGGGACATCGATGAATGCCCTAGGGCTGTCGTTATGAAAACGCAAGATTGTAACCATGCCGTTCTCGTCAGTCTCAAAGAATGTCTCATTATCTATGATGGTATCTAATTGTTCGTCCCCATTGACAAGATCGACGACATCTATCTGGAAAAGAACGGAAACCAAGGCAATCCATTGGTTCATTTGTACTTCCGATGGCTGTGTTCTCAAGGCAAGCTCTAGAAATTCCTTCCTGTTTTGTTTTGGAATTCCAACAGTGATAGTATTGATGTCGGAAAATTCCTCCTCGAACGATTCGTATATTCTTTCTTTGTCTTGCATGGTGCTGTTGTGTCGGTCGACTGCGTCGTTGATTTTGCAGATTGGGCCTTTTATTTTTGTTTCCGTAACAAATTCAGAATGCATCGACGAAGCAGAGAGCACGGCTAGCCCATGTTCTTCGAGAGAGACTAAAGTGATAATCATAGTGCAGTGAGGATACAGTGATTTGGTCGTGCTAGTACGGGTACAAATCAGGAGGAACCGGTGCGAGCTACTACGAGTAGTACGGTGTGGTGAAAAGGAAAAAAAAGAAAAAAGTGTTGTTTAGTCTCACACTTTGACATCATGTTTGAGTCGTGAGTGTCCGTTTTACGTACCTTACATATTACATACGACAGTCGGCAAATCGACACGTGAAACTATTGCATTGGATTGCAAGCATGAGTAAGGAAGATAATAGTGCTTAGACTTCAAGGGCATCCTGCTTCGATTGTATGACCCAAGATCGGTAACACAGTTCGTGGTTTGCCAGATCGACTAAAAGGAGAATTCAGACCTGTAGGGTCGTTCATCACCTGTCTTGTGTCCTTGTATTTTATTTTTTGTTGAAATGGTTGCAAACAGTAAGTCTTATCGAGCAAATGAAGTGTTCTCTATCCGATTCTTATTCTCTATTTCTTTGAAATACGAGCTCCCCTCCCAGCCGCTCTTGCCGGAAATCACTCATCTTGTCCTGTCTTTCTTTATCAGTCTCCAAGATCCCTTCTCTCTTTCTAGATCTCTTCAACTTCAAGCTCTTGCTTGGTTCATCAGCAGCTTCTTGTTTCTGCCAGGTCAATGAACACAGCTGCTCATCCAATGTTTTTCAACATACCTGTCTCTCATACTATCCATCATAATACTATATGTACCTAGTATCTTACTGTATTCGTCAATCTTAACATCTTCCAATGAGCCTACTAGTATCTCAGCACTCCTGCTCGCCCGGCTCAAATGCCTATTTGTGCTTCCCGAATCCTACTTTGTGCACTCCAGGCAACCCAGGGTGCAACAACGGGCACTATCAACAAAAGAAGGCAAAGACACCAAAACAAGCGGACCCAGGCACCGAAAATGGAGCAGAGTGCCATGGCGAGATTGGATTTGCGTTATCGAGGCCAAGTTGCTGGCAGCGATTTCGTCCGTTCACCGGAAAGAGGTTGGCATTCCCGAAGTCGGTTGTCGCCATTGGGGCGACGGTCGCAGGATGCAAAATCTAGAGATCAAGTTCTAAAGAAATAATCTAGTTTTATCGAACAAAGTCGCAAACCATCGCATCGTGGTTTCCAGTAGTGTGCCGCAGGAATTCCGTCGAGAGGGGATCTGGACTTTCCGTTTCGTTTCGCTTCGTTTCGCTTCGTCTCCTTTCGTCTCGGCTACGGCGGGAGGTCCGGGTCGTAGGCCAGGCCGGAGTCGCAGTCGAAGAGGGGGGCGTCGGGCCGGTCCAGGACCCCCAGGCCGTACATGAGCTCCCGGAAGCTCCAGGCCCTCCGAAAGGCCCCTCCGTAGGGCATCTGGTAGCTCCAATAGAAGAGCTCGACGCCCGCCGCCTCGGCGGCCGTGACCTGCCGCGCGTAGGAGTCCCGCAGGCTGCCGAGGTCGTTGCAGGCCCGCCGGACCGAGTGGTGGGAGGCCGCGGAGAACTCGGCGCTCATGAGCCTGGCGGTGGCCGACGAGGCGGCCGGCTTGGACCTGCTGCGGGCGGCGCCGCATTGCTTGTCGATCGCCTCCCGGTAGACCCCGGCAAACCGGGTGCACTCCCCCAGGACCTCCCCCCGGCGGTCCGCGTCGCTGCAGGCATAGGCCGAGTCCTGGCCGTCCACCGTACCGGAGCACACCGAGGACCAGGCGTGGTAGTGGTGGATGTCCAGGACGGCCCAGGTCGACCGCTCCTCCGCGGTGGTAGTGGCGGTGACGCCGTTCTTCTTCCCCTTTGGACCCTCCGGGCACCACCACTCGGCGATCGCCCCGAGCTTGAGCATCCCGTCCTCCAGCTCGCTGGCCCCGTCGGGGGCCAGCCACGGAAAGATGCTCTCGATGATGTTTGCCTGGAGCTCGACGCCGAGGGCCGGGAGCCTCGATTCCCGAAAGATGGTGATGGTCCGGTGGAACCAGTACAATACCCGGAGGTGCGACCCGTCGGGGAGCCCCCCGCCGAGGCCCTCCCGAAAACCCGCGGCGAGGCCCGGCGGGAGCGGCGGCAGGAAGTTGTCGGGGTCGCTTTCCCCGAAATTCCCGGCCAGGTGGGCCGGCTCGTTCATCGGGGAGATGCCCCTCAGCCCCGAAAAGGCCAGGGGGTCCCGGACGCTCAGGTCCTCCATCCACGCCACGAGGGTCCGAAACAGCTCGTGGCCGACTCCAAAGCCCCTCGTCCCGGCAGGATGGCCGTCCTCTTCCACCCCGTCCCCGCCGTGTGTCCAGAACCTCGGCCAGTTGGGCCACACCCCCGAGAAGGTCCCGATCGAGGTCCCCCCCGGGAGCGTGTGGACGTCCAGGGAGGCCTTGATCCCCGCCCTGGCACAGGCCCTCAGCAGGTCCTCGACCAGGGCCTTGGGAATTGCCGGCCAGAGCATCGGCAGCTTTGGCTGGCTGCCGCTGTCACCGTCGCTGCCTGCCCCGTTCTGGAAGAAGGGATCCTCGCACGCGAATCGCTCCAGAAGCTCCTCGTCGGTCAGGGAGGACAGATCGGTGGTCCGTGGATCGCTGTCGGTCCAGCACCAGCTCATGGGGACCCGCACCGTGGTGATCCCCAGCGAGGCCACCCGCTCCAGATCGGTTTCCAGGTCGACAAAGGCCGTCCGGTGGGCCGCAAAGACCCGAATCGCGTGGGCCACGCTCCCGCCCTTTGTGGCAATCGGGTCCATGAGGCTCCGAAAGAGGTCCGTCTCGCTGTGCCACTTCGGACCGGTGGAAGAGCCCACGTGCAGCGGAGGCAGGCAGGCCGCAACCTTCTTTGCCCCGGCCCCCTGCCCGGGGGTGGCCACCTCGATGGCGTTGTGCGGGCCGGCAAAGAAATAGTCCTCCAGGGAGAGCCAGGAGCCCAGGTTGACCCCGGAGGGCATGGGGATCTTGCCCGCCTCGCGGTGGACAAAGGACCTGCGCTTGGCGCTGGTCTCGGCGTTCGAGAGGGCCGCCTTGTACTCCCGTACCTGGGCCTCCTCCTGCTCCTCCAGCCACTCGTGCTCGCTGTAGCTGTGCTCCTCGACGCCCTGGAAGACGATGATGGCCAGCAGCAGGACCACCATGGCCAGCATCACCACCTTCATCAGGGACCACGATCGGAAGAAGGACCCGGCGTCCCAGAACCGGTTTCGGTTCCGTCGCTCGCGGGCGAGGTTCGCCGAGGTTCCTACCGACTCCTGGCCCTTGCCGTAGGCCCCGGGGTGGTCCTCGCTGATCTCCGTGTAGTCGTTCTTGTTCATCATCATGACGGGGAGTTTCGTGTACATGGTGGCGGTGGGCTGTCGACACCGTGCTGGTCTAGAGTAGTTGGTGCGGTTTCGAATGTCAAGAACGGAACGGATTGGAATGGAATGAAATGGATTGGATTGGATTGGGTTGGATTGGAACGGGTGATTGGAAAGTGAAAAGGTACAGCACTTGCACATAATAATGAACAGATTGTTCACAGATACTCTCATCGATCAAACACATCGAGAATCGACGGACTGCTTGGTACCGTACCGTACCGTACCGTACGGTCGACCACGGAGAAGGATACGAGGAACCGAAATGCTACTACTGTACCGTACGCTATTACTGTACGTAGCCTTCAGTACAGAATCGTATCCGAAGGAGAAGACACCATTCCAGATGCACAGGGAGCGTCGATCGATGGCGCGGAGGATTTAAAACTGAGAGTGTCACGCTTGGAAGTTGAATCACGAATCGATGGGGGTTGCATTGTGATAGTACGTACGATATGGTAGTACCGTACTGTACGTACCATAACACCAATAATCTCATCGAAGCCAGAGTCAGATCAGAACCTCACCTTCCCTATTGAAATCAGCTATACATGGCGCCACTGATCCAAGAACTACTGCCATCATCACTATTACTACCAAATGTAACAATATCTATCTAAGCTCCACTAGCTCTTTCGTTTGTGAGAACATTTTCTTAACTGCTATTCTGAAAAGTTGGGCCACCACCACGAGGTACGAGGAAGAGAACAAGGCAATCCTTGTTTTTGCACAGCATCATGATTCCGATAGCGGGACGAAACACGAGTCACAATTGTAGCGTCATTGCTGCTGCTAGCTGCAGGATCAGAAGCCCATATACACCTAAGAAAAAAGAAACGGCGGTACTGTTGTTCTGGAACAACACAGCCGCGCGACGCAAATGGGGATAGAAAAATATAGGAAAAATTGCCGACACTAAAATTGAAAAAATGAATTAGGTGTGGTGTTGCTTCTGCTTATTTCGTTTGGTTCTTGACTCCCTCGATGCGCGCGCGGATGGCATCCTGGTCTCCGAGGTATCGTCCCTGTAGCGGCGAGAAGGCTCCCTCCTGCGGGATGGGCTTCAGGTCGTCGTCGAGTTCGTACACGAGCGGGGTTCCGGTGGGGATGTTGAGCTCGGCGATCTCGCTCTCGTCGATTCCGTCCAGGTGCTTGACGAGGGCACGCAGGGAGTTTCCGTGGGCGGCAATGACGACGGTCTTGCCGTCGGTAAGCTCGGGGGCGATAGTGCTCTCCCAGAACGGAACGACACGGTCGAGGGTGGTGGCGAGGGACTCGGTAAAATCCTCGGGCCACTCCTCGAGATCGGCGTATCGTTCGTCGTTGGCGGGGTGGTGCTCGCTGGTCTTGTCGACCGTGGGCGGGGGGACGTCGTAGCTTCGGCGCCAGACGAGGACCTGGTCCTTTCCGTACTTGTCGACGGTCTGCTGCTTGTCCAGTCCCTGGAGGCCACCGTAGTGACGCTCATTGATCTTCCACGACTTGGTGACGGGGATCCACATGCGGTCGGTCTGTTCGAGGACGTGCCAGAGGGTGCGGATCGCGCGCTTCTGCATGGAGGTAAAGGCGACGTTGGCCTTGATTCCGGCCTCGTTGATGAGCTTTCCTCCCTCGGCGGCCTCGACGTGCCCGGCCTCGCTCAGGGGGCAATCGTACCACCCGGTGAACTTGTTGGCGAGGTTCCATGTGGACTCACCGTGTCGCACGAGGACGAGGGTCGATTTCTCGGCCTGCTGGGTGGCGGCGTAGCTGCGGAAGGGAAACGACAGACAAACACGGGCGACACGAAAAAAAAACCGGAACGGAGTGAGCAAAATCGCGCAACCCCGGAAATCAAATACCTCGAATCCATCGCTCAGAGGATTCGCCGGCTGGGAGCAAATGCAAAGGAGAACGACCTTTGAAATCCAAACTCGACACAAAAGGATGCGATGCTGTAGAGAAACTATCGGCAAGATGGAAACCAGGTATGCCGTGTCGTATCATGAGTGTCTTTTCTCCAATGTTTCGCACGCGGTAGATCATTTATCATTGCATATCCCATTGATATTGCAAGGGAATCCTTTCGTGGAAAAACTTGAAAGGATGGGAAGAGGTTGTATCGGTTTTGTCTACCGTAGTGGCAGGTGAAAAATATCGTAGACTGCCCACAAAACATTTGTGTCGCAAGCTGAAATTCGATCGGATCAGAAAACCAACACACCACTGCGACTGAAGCAATATTGTTGTTCACGAGTGCCGTCCATCGATTCGAACGAAGATTCACCGATCCACTCGACCGACAAAACCTCTCTTCCAGACCTGTGCCAAGCCGCGAAGATTCATGCCCTGCGTTTTATCGCAACCTTGAAGCCACTCGAGTTTTTCGAATGCCACCTTCGTTCGGCACGTACCTGCGACGGAAGGCGGAGCGAGCTGCCAAAAGGGAGCTAGTTTTCGAGGCGGCAAACATGATTGAATGGGTTCGGATAGTCAATTCTCAAAGATTATGACAATGTCACATTGCCAGCAGCTGAGACGATCTCGTACTCGTACTTCTTCCCAGTACAGTATTCAAAGCATTTTCTTGCAGTTTCACACAAGTGGTGTTCGTTGTTTTATCTTTTTTGTGTACGGTAGAGAACAAACACGTGTGAGGTAGAGGTTTCCGGTACTTTGCAAAACGCACTTTCGAATCATTTCGTTGGTGGAATTGCGATGGGTGGTTCGCCCATTCGACTTGTTCGACTGATAGTGGAAGGAGAAGATTGTCACCGTCCTGCAGTCAACCGTACCGAGACCCTTTCGAGATGGCGCGCCAACGGAAAACCCGAACGGAAATGTGTCACCGAGAATAGTTAACGGTGTGACTTCTGTTCACAATTTTCGATTTTTCTTGCTTTTTGCACTTGATGCTTGTATCGGGAGTAAGTTCGTCGTCATCACCCTATCATGTGCCTCCAACTCTCGCAGGTCAAACAACACAACAAAGCAATCAATACAGCAGAGTTGTGTTCTTGAAATTGAAAGACCAGTAAGACATATCAGTGTGTTCAAGATGGGGAAAGCCAAAAGATTCCTTGCGGGGGTCGTAGTTCTCGTGACTGGCGGTGTTGCGAGCGCAAGAGGTCATTTGATGTTAGTGAAAGAAGCATCGAATTCTGTAGTTAGTACAGCGTTGAGAAGACGGCACAAATCGGTGGTTGAATCTCTGCAGGGAGCTTCCGGTGAGAAACTACAAGATAAGCAGCAACAAAAACAAGGAACGGTTTGGGACACAGCAGCAGAAACATCTTCGCTACGAATAGGCAAAAGGGATCCAGGCAAAACTGAGCCCTATCCGTCGATTACAGCCTCGACATATACGGCAGAAGTACTGAGACAGCGTCAAAAAAGAAAGTCGTTTTCCTTTGAAAGAAGCGCTACCACAAAAAGCGGCAACGGGACAAAGTCGCAAAAATCCAGCAAGAAAGGAAAGTCTAGCAAGAAAGGAAAGAGCGGCGAGCGGAAGTATGAGTACGATTACCCCGAAAATGCCTTTTATGATTCGGTTAATGAGGCAAACGACGTCTATGAGAATTCTTTGTTGGGAGGAATGCTTAGTATGAATTCGGTTGATACCGCAATTCCCACCTCATTGCCTACAACAATGCCGACAGATTTGCCTACAGCAAGACCTACTTTGAAAGGTACCGTAAAAGATACAATAGCGCCTACGGCAACACCTACAGTAATGCTTACAATGACACCCACTGCAAAAGCTCTCGCTGCATCCACCCCAACGCCAACCACAGCGATTGATACCACTACAGCTCAACCAACCACTCAGATGATCGCACCGTCGTCGACGACGTTGGAACCAACACCTCAAATTGTGAGTTTCGAGCCCGCCACCACAAACTCAACGATATCTCCTAGTTTGTTGGAAACTGTGGGAGGTACCGAAGCCCCCCTGCCAACCGCAGAGCCGTCACCTCAAATTGTGA